TGTGCCTGGTTATCTGTGACCAGATGCTGGACTACATGTGTGAAAATTCTAGGCATCATCTGTGGCCTGCAATGACAATGTCCTCCTCCGGGGGACTGCTTTTCTTACCTTAACCCGAGTATAAAGTTCGAGGTGTCCAAAGGCCCACTGCACACCTGTGACAGGGCTGGCTTGCGTCCAGTCCACTCCTGCCCTTAGGGCACTGCCTTGAAAGTCTCCGTGGAAAGCAAAAAGGGTCTCCACTTCTCGTGGGCTCCGGGCTTTGATTCTTCTCCTAGACCAGGGTTGCTCAACTTCGGCACGTCGACATCACAGGCCGATGGCTCTCGGTGGGGGGCTGTTGTATGTGCTGTAGGGTGTAAGCAGCTTCCCTGCCCTCCACCCACTAGATGGCAGTAACGCACCCCCTCCCGGGTGGTGACAAAGGACCCGGTCTCCAGGTGTTGCAAATGTCCCCTGGAGGGCAAAGCCGCCCTGACAGATAACCACCCTCTTGACTTTCATGGTCACATCAATGTCTGTTTCACGGTTCTTTCTTTGGGATCAGCAAACGCTCTCGAGGCACAAACAGCGGTGTGCTGTAGTTGCTTACGTGGACACTTTCCTCCTCCTGGAGAAGGCCCAGAAACTCTCCTTGTTTCTTGTTATCTATGATGCTTCCAAGAGAGAATCCCAAGCAGGGTTTGGGATGCGGGGCTCAATCTCAGGCCTGTGAGACTGACTTGAGTTGAAATCCAGAGTCTGACACTTAACCAACTGAGCCACCCAGGCAACCCCTCAAGACTTTTTTTAACAGTGTATCTGAAGTCAGCACTGTCCAACTTGCAGCTTCTAGCCACGTGTGGCTACTGAGCCCTTGAAGTGTGGCTGGTCTGCGTAGAGTGTGGAGTGTGCTAGAGGTGTAAAATACACACCAGAATTCAAAGACGTGGTATGAAAAAGATGTACGATACCTCTTTAGAAAAAGAGGTAACTTTTTCTATTGACTGCATGTTGCAATGATACTATTTTAGGCATATTACAATAAATAAAACATATTAAAACTAGGTTTTTGGGAAGTTTCATTTGTTGTTTTTTTTTAATAATCTCTACACTCAATCTGGGGCTCAAACTCATGACCCCAAGGTCAAGAGTCACACGCTCCACCAACTGAGCCAGCCAGGTGCTCCTAAAATTAGTCTCGTCTGCTTTTTACTTTTTTTTTAGTGTTGCTACTAGAAAATTTAGAATTATATGTATGTCTGCATTAGTGACTTGTATTATATTTCCACCATATGGTACAGACGTATGTTAGCCAATCTGCCACAACTGGACTGAGAAGCCCCCCAGGGTGCACATTTCTGAGGACAAAGGGTAGGTTTTCTATTACCTGTTACTATGCAAGGTGCACACATACTCAATAATGCCAACTGCTTCACAGGGGAGAGGGAACCTCCTTCCCTCCCTAGGACAGCTTAGCTTAGGCAGGCATGAAGACAGAAGAAACAACACAAGGCTTGTTTGCCCCCAAACATTTATACGGAAAGTCTGAAGACGTACCATCCGAAGGGCCATGAACTCATTTTTAATAACACGGTAAACGTTTATAGGCATTCGCTCTCCATAGAGCACTTTACGCTTAGTTCCACATATAGATAGAATTACTGCAGCAGACACGGACCCTCCCTTCAGTGAAGGACTGGGGCTGCGAAGAGCGTGGGGACCTCAAAGGGTCAGCTTCGTCAGGGACTGCCTTCCTTGGCTTCGAGCCACAGCTGCGCGAGGCGGGGGGACAAGGGCCCAGCCATGCCCACCCCACGCCAGATGCCCCTGACAGGCAATCTTCATGTCAAAGCTCCCGAACGGGCCTCCCCTGCCGGCCTCTAGCCCTCTCCCTCCCTTCCCTGCCCACAGATGCTCCTCTCATAAATCCTCAGTCCTCCGAGCCTAGCTCAGGGTCTGATTCACAGAGAATCCAGCCTGAAATGATCATCAGTAGCCCACGTGAAAGCTGAGAAAAGACACGGGGAAGGGTAAGTAACGTGACAAGGCAGCACACCTTGTAAAGCATCAGAGCAAGGACCCTGTCTGCAGGTGGTCAGGGCAACCTTACTCTTAACCACCATGTGACAGTGCCTTTAGGATGCAGTGAAAGTTACAAACCCCTCACCATGTGGCACAGACGGCAAACAGACCCACGGAACGATGCTCCACGTCACGTGGCATGAGGGAAACGCGCATCAAAA